ATTCCCACTCCACCCCCCCCCCTTTCACAGCAGAGTCTTCCTCAGTGCTTCAAAGGAAGGGGGAAGGCGGAGCAGGCCTGAATTGATTCAGTCTTCTGTATTCTTCCTTAATGGATCCTGCCTGCCTTACCCCCCATGCCTGCACCATGGAAATGCATGATGCTAACACACACACTTTCAACAAACAATGGGGCTCCCTAAATTGAAGCCCCCACATCTACTAAACCCCTTTAGGTTACAATAGTGGCTAAGTGTGTACTGGTCTAATTTGAAAGGCACAGAGTCCTCTTCTCCTAAGCCTAGGAAGACATTTCTTAGAAGGGAAAAAAATCTTTGGATAAACCAAGTTAGAAGGATGAGTTCTTATGAAAGGTAAAGCAGAGGTGCATTTGCCAAATAAAATGATAAGAGGAATGCAAGTTAGTTTTAGTATATCCTACTGAAAGTTTAATTTGATACCAATAAATAATTTTGTTACCTGGTCCACTGCATAAAATCTAAGTAAGACATAAAAAGAAAAAAAAAAGAAAAAAACAGGAAAAAAAGAAACAAAATCCTAAATGACGATCAGAAGTGACAGCACAAGCTAAGGTGTGGGTGGGGGTGGATGAGCGAAAGTAGATAAAAACTGTATTAAAAAATAATAATCCTAAACATTATATATGAAATGTGTTCATCTGATCAGAGATAGGCTTTTAACATGCTATCATTGAAAGGTTGCTTTGAGACACAACTGGCTGTTCCCGAATGAAATATGTCCCACTATGTGTCACATACCGACTAAATGGCTTTTTAAATGGAGCTGAAATTATTTTGATGTGTACACATCTCGGGGTTTTAATACAACCCACTGTTAAAACGACGCATCCAGATCCGTCTCTTTAAAACCTCATTCATAATTCAGAGCCTGTGATGTGTTCTAAGAGATCTGGGAGCTTTAAAAGAACAGGAATTACGCTGAAATATTCCAGTTTTATTAGACAGTTAACCCTTGCTCTTCCAAAGAGAACAAGCTCACAATACACAATTTAAGCAAACACAAATATGGCTCATTAACTGTTGTTTTATGACTGGACCATCTTATTTAGACTTAAGTATACAAATGTAAAAAAGTCAAATCGCACTGCCAAATGAAACACTTAGCACATAGAAATCGTAGTGCAGAATCATTGAGCCGCACCACTACACAGCACCCTCTAGCAAGAGATAAAATTGCTGCTCACTATAGCTGAGAGGATTGAGATTGTGAATTACGTACTGGTGTAAACAGGAACATATTGTCATAAACAGAAGCCAGACATCCAGGCCCGATAGCTTAATATGGAATAATTAGTCCAGTCGCACATGAAATAAGTAGCTCAGGAACAATTACAATGTTAGTGAAATTGCCGTGGAAGCAGTATATGCACTGGTTTCCCATCACTGCTGTTCTTTCTTTCTCACATCTTTTTTTTTTTCCACTCATTTTTAATGATTGTTTGGAATTATTTGGCTTCCAGCACTAACTATTCCTATTTCCTTTCTCCCATTTTGTCTTTCCCTCAAACCTACTCTTCCATTTCTTTTCTGCCTATACCCTCTGCTGCTACTAATCCTACATGCTTCTATCCTCCACTTGCCTATAATTATTTTTTTTTCAAATTACGCTTTCTGTTTTATTCTGTCACATCTCGCCTTCTGTGCATGTTATCTACCCCATCCTCCCCCCCTCCTATCTCCAACCTTTTCTCCACAGCAGAAAAGAAATGGTATACAGATGAAATGGAAAATGCTTATCCCAGAAACATTCAGATTAAGCCAATGAGCACACACATGGCTAATCAGATTAATCAATACAAATCGACGAGCAGCTTGATACCGCCAATCCGAGAGGTCGAAGATGAATGTTGATCCTAAACTGAACTTTTTTTTAGGGGAAAACAACAAAGACCTATTCACAGAACTTGAAGACATATCCAGACTTGCAAAACAATCTAATAACCGCAAGCATAAATGGGACTTCAAAAGTGATGTCGCTCAATAAGCCTGTGAGAAGCAAGACTTTGTTTTGTATTTCCAGCAGGCATACAGTGACTGGAAAAAGCAAGTGTACATTATTTAATTTATAAATGAACAGCATCTATATAGTCATGTATAGCCTCTAGTGTTTTAAATTATTTTTATTCATTAGAAAGAAGAAAAATATATATAAATATATTTTTTGTCAAGTCTTTGCCCAATAATTAAGGATTAATAACAGCCATTTATATGGGAAAGTGATGAAGGGACTTGTGTCAAACATACTTTAAGTACAGCTGAATACTTTCCCAGCTACAAGACCAAGTGAGCTGGTTCCTAGGACACCATCACACATCAAAGCAGGTTACTCTTGCCTTGGAAGATCAGATAATGGGTGTCATTGTTGAACTATTCCATGCTTCTGCCACAGAGTATTGTATGAGCTCTGGATAATCTTGATTGAAATTACTTTGTTACTTTTTCTGTTATCACAGTCAGCTAGCATTATTGATGAATGATTTGAAGGGTGTGTGTAAAGCCTTCACCTGAACACAACCCTAGAAAACAAAACAACTCAGGCTAGAGTTTTTGTTTCTTTACTTTTTCTGTTTTTGTTTTTTTATTATTTACTTGTCATTAATGAGTTCTAAACAACCACCATCAATTACTTTTCTAATCTGATCAGAGTTGTGATTTAATCACAAATACATCCTTTATCAGCATTTCACGCATCTGGCTAAAATATATATTTTCCATTTTTGCAAAGTTTCATTGATCAGATCTTATATAAAATGAGTGATGTACATGAAATGCATTGAAAGGGCCATGTAGCATATGTGTCAGGGCAGATGGTGACTTCTGCAATGGATAAAGATATGTGGGTCCACTTTTGTTACCAGTTATATATGTGATCCAAAATAATGTCTTGGAAAAAAAAGAAAAGGTTTTAAACCAGTTCTCACTTGCAATTCCTGCTGCCCTATTACAAGAAAAAAAGCTAGTCCTTAGAAAGGAGTACTTAATAAAGTGTTAGTAGATTAGAATAATCCTATTTTAAAAATAAACCAGAAATGTCAAGTTCATCCAAACATAACATTGTAGGTTTGGGTAGAACAAAAACAATTAAAATGTGAAAGGTTGAATTACTGCAGGTGTTGTGCGATCCACTTCCACTAACAACGCACAAAAGGAGTGACAAGACTTCACATTTTAGTGGGAGATCTTATAATTCCCGCATGACAACAACAGTGAGAACGTCCTTAAATCTGCTGCTGAGATAGATACCAACTCTCGTAGATAGATACCAACTCTCACAAGGTAGTTGAAGTGGATGACCCAGTACTAGCATGGAAGTGCTGGCCTGGTGGGCATTAAGGACATACAACATTTTTAAGAGTACATTATTCCTTTCTCTAAGTAAGATAAATTGTGCTGCATTACAGCTTCTAAGTTTTATATATATAGCTACTCTATGTTGTAAACGTTCCTATTTAAGGACATACATTTATGCTGGTGCAGTTTGAACAATTTAGAGTGTAAATTGTTCAAAGATCAAGAATATTACTAAAAAAAGGACCAACATTAGTGTATTATTCATTGAATATTCATTCCTAGGGCTTCTTTGAGGACTGGGCCCGCTACATCACCGCCAGCAGTAACTGCTTGAAAAACAGACACCTGTCTTAGTTCATATTTTCAGGTTAAACCCACTGTTGTGCTCACATGTGAAAACTGTGGTCTGATGCTTGTGAAGATAGGTTGGAATCAATGTTACACAATTATAGGATGCATTATTGCTTCTCTTTCAGTTGCAGCAACTTGGAGTAGATGTGTCCACAAGCCCAGGATGTGTCGACAATGTTTTCATTCAATTGACTACTTTTACAATAGATTTAAAATTTATTTCAAAAATAAAAACATTTCATCTTGGAATCTAGAGCCATGATTCACTGATCAGTTGGTAAAGCAGTTACATCATATAACAGTATTGCTGGGTACAACGCATGTTGCTATAGTTCCTGTATTATGAAAATCATTCTCAATTTAGTAATGAAACAGATTTGCCTTCATAAAGCTCCCCATCTAAATTTAGTTTCTGTTTACTAACTGATGACAGCATGTACTGCTTCTACTATATTAAATCTGTACTGCCAAAGAGAGCTTTGCCACCAGTCCCAAGAGTCACTGGTTGCTCCATTCTGAAATTGGAAAGCTTTTAGAATTTGACCACCACAAAATTTTAGTACAATACCAACAATATAAATGCATTACGCAAGCTCTCACTTTCTAGAATAAACATAACCATGTATTGTCTGGAACAAAAATATGATATATATCTAGATATATATATATATATATATCTATATCTATATATACACATGCACACACAAACATGATGTATGACCTCTATTTTAGCAGTACTTTAGGTCCCAGTAGACACATGTTTCACTGGGAACAAATCAGACATTGGTCAAGTATCCAGTGCTCTAGTGATGCCTGCACTATGGGAGCACTAACTTGTCACAAAGATCAATTTTCAGCTTTGATCACTAGTGCAATGACAACAGTTTTTACTGCCAATATTCCCTCTGCCCATTATAGTACCCTTAACTACAACAGCCACATACTTGATGGCCCCCAAAGTATCACAGGTATGGTGTTCTGTACTTAAGCAGCTGTCATTGTTTTGCTGTTCTCCAGATGTGTCTTTCATGTGTCAAAGAGAACTGGGACCACAATGGTAAGTAGACAAATCTGCTTGAAGCAAATTTTTATATTAAAAACTTGTGTGGCAAAGACAGATATAGGTCAGGGGTCCTACATCTTACCTTTAAAACTAGTCTAGGTCTGGCCATACAACAACAGATATCTCTGTCAGGCAGATATTTGCCTCCCCTACACAAGTGGGCTTCTTGGGTCAATTGAATTCTCACCTGCTAGTTTAAATACTTCACCCTTCATTGTAGAGAAGTGATGGACTTGCTTGCTCACAGGGAGATTATCCAAGAAGCTGAAAATTATCTGGTTGTTCCAGGTCAGGGATTACTAGATATTGAAATGAGGATGACAGCCCTAGAACCGGCTTCCATATGTACAGTCAGCAATGACCACTCCCATACTGTATGCCTGTCTTCATAGGTTACTCTAAAAAGGAATGAATGCATAAACCTTCCATTAAGCTGTTAGGAAAGTATATGCTCATACCCTGCAATCTACTACACTGTTTACATCTTAAAGCAGAATGATTTCTATTACCAAGGCTCCAGCTTTTTTTAAGCCATGGGGCAGTAATCAGAAAAGAAAATCAGCAATCTTTCTTTTTATTGAACACATTTGTTGCTCATATGGTTTGATTGTTTAACCCTTTCCTCCCTGTACAGGTCTGAACTGTATGAAAATACTGTGTCATGACATCAGCAAACAGGTTTAAAGTGTGTCTAAAGGCATTTTTGAAGTTTAGGATATAGTGTGAGGGGTTAGAACCCCTGTCACATGTGTCTCCATGACGGAAATTCACCATCTCTACTGCAATGTTTTATGAGGGAGTGGGCCTTATGAGCAGTGTCAGGCCAGATATGTTATTTGGTTAATAAAGCAGAAGGCCATTCTAATGGAGAAAGTCCATTGCAAGAGCTAGAGCGAAATCTGAAATTCTAGCTAACAGAATACTAATATACTTCGTAGTGCAAATTGTATTACATACAATGAGTTGTAGCAACCAGATGTCATTTCAGGAATATACAGTATTATTTTATCCAGCTGTTAAACTACTATGCCCCTTAGGGTTATACTGAATAATGTTTAGGGTTATACTGAATAATGTTTATCAGTCACATGATGGTGACCTGGGAGTGTAAATGCTGAAACATGGCAGTGGCTATAGAATATGATTCTCACAAGTCATGATGGATAAATTGATCTGAGAACCAGTCAAACTGGCAAATGTTATCATTCCCCTGAATATGTGATTGCTGAATAATCAAGAGAATTGTACCATTAATTAACTTCAAGGGCCTGGGTCTGGAAATTACAAGAGTCTAATGAGATCAAACAGATCTTCACAGAGGGCATTAGGAGAATAAATCAAAATAACTCCCAATCCCTTCTAATATGTATAGAGTTTGCTCTTCTGTCCATTTTTTAGGTAAGTTTGACATCTGGCTGACAAATGACCAGATTCTGATAATGGTGACAGAGAGCCGCATCTAGTAGTAGTCTGCAAGCAGAAGAACTATGCAACAGCTGCTTCTACTCATCAAAGAGAATGTCTTACAAAAAACGTTTTTGTGTCTATAAAACCCACTTGTATGGTGAACAATTTCACATTCAGTACTGAGTGACCAATTCATCTATGAACCATGTTGACAAATTAAAAGTAATTGTTATTTTGAAGGGAATGCTTAATGAAGGTGAATTTCGAATGCCACTTAATTGTACTTGCATCAACCTTTAAATCACAAGGAACTGCCACCTGTTAAAAGCAAGAAAGCCAGAATGTGGCAATCACCTAAATCAATGTAGAACTGACAGAACAAAAAGTACATGCCACTGGGGTAATTCATAGTAAATTAACAATAGAAAAGCTTATTTACTTTTGAAAATCAGACAATACTCCATACTTATGTGACTTCAGGTCATGTTATGTACAAATGCAGCCAGAATTGGAAAAACGACTTGCTTGCAGCAGTGCAAAGAATATACATCACTTTCTACCAACCCAAAGACATAATGACCATGTATACTAACATGGGAAAACATCAGGTAAGAGCAACAGTGGCTGCCTTACTTACAGGAATAAATGTGCACTGAACAGGATATTTGCTGAGTGCTGCATAAGAACAGCCACATAATTAAATCAGCACCTTTGTGATCAATAAATACTATATGTCAGGAGCTATACACAGCCATCATTTATAGCAGGGCTGCCTTACTTAGAAAGACATAAAAGCCAGGTATAAGGTACACAAAATCGAGTTCCCTGAACAACAGAGAAAGGAGATCAAATCTG